CCACCTTCCTTTTCTGCCCAGTCTGTCGTCTAGTAAGCCCCACACTTAGGCCACCCTGTCCTCTGCACACGCTGCAGTCCTGCCTCCATGACCGTTTCAGTCACCTCCTAACTTGCCTGGCTGGCTTGTCTCTAAACCCGGGAGGCTACACCTGTGCCACTGCTTTACCCCCTCCCTGCATGGAATCCGGAATCCCCCTATCAATTATCTTAAATAAAAGATCACCCCTTTTGGGAGGTGAGTTCACCTTGATGTATGTGCACAGCCCAGCATACCACCCAGTTTATAAACTGCTTTGCAAACAGACTGCTATCCGGAACGGATTCTTCCCAACTTGTCTCAAACAGAGCTCTGTCAACCAGGCAAAACAAATTTGTACAAAAACTTAGTGAGCTTCTGTTTTTGATTGCATGCAACCCTGGAAGTTGTGACACTTCTCAACCTTCTGAGATCCCCCCCTCCCCAACACACACTAGGAATGCACAGAGCAGGGCCACTTCCACTTCACGTTAGACGTCAGGAAACAATACAGCTCTACAGTTAGAGTTAGGTCATGTGTACTCAATTGTACAAGACTGGGGAGACTAACTCAGTACTGAACACCCTGGGCTGTGAAGAGAAGTTAATAAGGAAATACCACAAGTAAGCATTAAATATTAGCGGTTATATGGGTTGTTCAGAAATTGCACTTTGAGTATCATTTCTCTTCTTTTCTTTGTGCAATTTTAGTACCAGATCAAACCCAGAGGCACTTTACTACTGGATTACACCCACAGCCCTTTTCATTTTTTATTTTGACACAAGGTCTTGCTAAGTTGGCCAGACTGTGGCCTCAAACTTGCCCTCCTCCTGCTTCAACCTTCCAGAGTGCTGGGATTACAGATGTGCATCACCATACCCAGCTTGAGTGTTTTTCTCACCAGCTGGGAAACGATAACACACAGAAAACAGCTGTCTGTAAAACAAATGACATCCTGAGGCTGGGCCGACAAGGTGGGCTCACCTGCTCACACATCTTGGCCACACACTCCCGCCCCAGGAGGAAGGGAATAAAAGGGGCAGGGAGAGGGGCTGTAAAGGTGGACACAGGGGGCATGAATATGATTAACATATACTACACCTATTGAATCCCAAAATGTGAAACTAGGGGGTAGGGTGGTGCGAGAGGTGGGGGGGGAAATGATTAAAATATGTTACGTGCATGCTCAAGTCTGCCAAAGTGAAACCGTTAACCTGACAACCACTGTACACTAACAAAAAAGTGGGGGGAAAAATCCAAGAAGGGCTATGTTTTTAGTGTGTCCTCCCTGAAAAGTCTCATAGCAAAAATATACAAAAAACAAAATGATAATCACATTTTATCAAACTGTTTAAAATATTGTAAGGGAAAGAATTCAGTTTTTTAAATACAGACTGCACAAGTTAATGACATCATTGTTCACTTTTCTTTGAAATTTGTTTTATGTGCATCTTAATTTTAGGAAAGCCTGTGGAGGCCCACAGGTACACATATTTGAGATCAGGGTGTGGGGCTGCTTGTGTATACTCCCAAGTCACAAAATGCCACACATTCATGACCAAAGTCTCCCAACCTCTGTCCCCAGCACCCGCTCTACCATGCCTTCCTGTAAACTGTCACTTACAAAAACTCCCTACTTTGAATTGCAATAATGAAGAAAAATAATTTGCCTCCCTATTAGATGAACAATTATCAGAGATGTGTAATGGCCAGTCAATGTCCCTAAACAAAATGAGACTATCCAGGTTATGAATGCTAGGTCAAAATAAAGAAGTAGGGTACTTTACTATGAGCTCTTGGACACTTTTTAGGGGAAATTTATGTTGTCATATTTGAAAATTTGAAAAATTCACAAGAATAACTCAAAGATCCCCATTATCGTTTGCAAAACTCCTCAGGATCCAGTGAGAGCTGGATCTCACCAGATCCAGCTGATGGGTGGGGAAGGAACCTTCCTGAGCTCACATAGCTTCCTGGCTTCTCCCTTTACTTCCTCTCACCCTGCCCAGGGTGTGGCCCAACCCAACCTACTGATCCCTCTATGATCTGGCAGGCAGCTGT